AAGCAGTAATTCCTTAGTAAACTGAAACAAACTGCATGTTGTTTCAAGTTTATATCATGAAAGCAAGAGACCTCGCTTTTTATCAGTTTACCAGCATGATAATTTTTGTAGTATGCACTTTTCAAGAGTAGTCTGTTGGTTAGATATTCTATGTACGTCATGATTAAATATCTACTCACCAAGCCATTGTAGATCTTTAATGACTTCCAGTGAATGTGGTAGATTTGAACCAAGGTCTACTGATTTATCCTTGTAATGATGTGGGCTTATAAATTTTGTCACTCTCTTGGAGCTCTTTTATTTGTGTGTGTGCAAAGAACATCCGTTTTTGCTTTTTTCGCTTTCTTCAAGTCTTTGCAGGTCTCACTGGGTTCTTAACCCTTTGAAGCACATGGCATATTAATGACAGAGATTGTGCATTCAAGAATTTCTAGGCCAGCGGTAAAGCTCACAATGGAATGGTGACTAAAACAAAGGGTTACTTACCTTCAGCTATACCCACCACAGTTTTGTTGAAGTTTTCAACAATGTTTAGGATTTTTTTGTATTTAAATGCTAATAGCTGATACATAGAAAATTGACATTTGCTTACTTATCACATAACAAGTTAAAGTGGGTTCTATGTTTTAAATTTTCCTGTCAGTGGTTTAGTGAAAATAGGTACTTATTATAGACAAATTATTTAAACATAATTTGTAGTGAAAGCAGAGATATAAATTGTTAATATTTTTTTCTTGTATTCATTACTTAAAAGGTATGCATACCTACATAGAATTTTCTCTGTATATTTTTGACCACAGTTCTGTAGACTGATATGGTAGTCTTCAATAAATCAATCCAGAAACTTTAAAGGTTCAATTTTAAAAATGTAAGAGTGATACCCTTGTTGTCATGCATATGCACTGTTAAACTTGCTGAGACTTTGGAGCTACTTGGGCACAACATTGTATTGAACTTTTCTTGGAAAATGAATCCACTTATTCTTAAATTGTACAGTACAGTTGCAAACTCCATTGGCTCAGTAGTGTTGAACAAGTCCAAATCATAGATACAGTAGTAATAGAATTCTAGGGTGTACAATACTTAATAGACACTCCAGGCATCAGGAGCTAGTTGTTGTAATTTGCTGGAGCAGTTAGGAAACTGAAGTGGACATGACAGTTTGCTAGTTTTCTGTGTTAGTTTTTTACACAAACAAATGGCCCATCAGAGGTGCCTACTGTTGAAGTTTCTCATTTTCATTCCATTACTATATTGAAAGAAGTCAGCTTAATTTTTTGATTTCTCAGTGGACTTTCATTTGATCTCTTGAGATGTAAGATTCCAGCCTGAGATCATGATGGCTTTGTCCTAAGAATTTGGAATCACTGTAGAATGATGTGACTCAATCAAGAAGTTGGCTATACCAACAGTTTACTTTCATTCAGTACTAAAATGTATTCAGTTTTCTCTAATAATAATTGTTTCATATAATTCATTTCATGTTTTGACTGTGTTTGGCTTTGTGCTAGATTTTTGGGTCATGGAGAACTTTAATATGCAAATCAACCCAGTTTTCAAATTTGTGACTTGTAATCATTGATCTTATGCTGGAGAAGGTGTTCATACTACCATTGCAGTGTGCTTAAATCAAGGTGAGGAGTTTCTGGTGACTGACCTGAATGGGTCTCCCGGTGCTACAAAGAATGGCAGTTAGATTGTGTATCCTCAAGAATTTTTCCAAGGGTCTCTTTGATCTTTGCTGCATCTTCCTTCATGACAGGCTGTTTGGTACAAAGCCACATTTAAAAGACTATGGGAAACAACTCTCTGGTGTATGGGAGAGCTGACAAGCCCTGGTTGAATTACCAGTGGACTGCAAACTGGGCATGTATTCACTGGGCTGGTTAGAACTGAGTGGGCAAGTGGCAATAATGGATTGGGGAGATAGGCATAGAAGTACTGATGAAGGTGACAATGCATGAACAGAATGCACTGATGGTGGTTCTGTCAGTGAAGGTACAGCTGGTTTGGTTGCTAAGTGTGAAGCAGGTTCTGTTAGTGAAGTTACATGTTGGCCTGTTTTGTGGAAGATACTGCTGGTTCTGTGGAAGGTACTGCAGGTGCTGTTTGAGGTGTATATATTGAGATGACAGTAGCCTTGTAAGCATTGAAGATAATTGGAGGGCTCAGAGCAAGAATGATCCCTTGATTTTTCGGCCATTTTAGAAAGTGTTCAGAAGAAGTTGAATTTTGGCATGTGGACACTTTCAAAAATGGCCGAAAAATCAAGGGATCGTTCTTGCTCTGAGCCCTCCAATTAGCCTCTTCATACTTTCAACTTAAACAAAGAGATAATAATCAGCATCAACATTACTTTTTGAGATTGCCTTTTTCGTGACTTCTGATATTGTCAATTGAGTGCTCTAAAACAAGCAAGTCTTCTCTGCTGTCTTTGATATCGTAATTGTGGACAAAAGAAAAAAAAATTTCACTGTATGATGGCCATTATTGTTGTCAGTAAGAGTACTGTCCAGACAAAACTATACCTCCGTTGATTTGAAGTGCATCTGCTGTCAAAACCCTGGTCACAGCCTTAAGAGTTTAATTGAATTATGTAAATATCCAACTGATGATGTAGCCAGTAATTCGTCATCAAAACAAAATGGTTCATGATTCATGTTTAATTAGACTGATAACCATAGTGAAACTACGATAATAGAACAATAGGCACTTGATATCTGTTTCCCTACAAATAAAATGCTGTGGTATACACTGTAACAATTTAAATGAAACAACTTTAAATGAACTGGTAGTCAAGTTGCCCACAGATCGACTCTCCAACACTTAGAATTAGTTTTCTATTGCCTTGAATTTTTCTTATTCCACTTTTCAAGTATACTTTAACCCTTTCACTCCCAAGATCTTATTAGTATTCTCCTTACTGTCTGCCAAATGATTCTCATTATCTTAGTTTGGAGAATTTTATGTCAGATCAATTAGCTATCTGATAATTAATATTTTTCTTTATTCTCATCACTTGTCTGCATGATAATGTATAGAATACAGTAAGGAGAAATTCTGTCTTGGTCACTTACTGGAGTTAAAGGGTTGAGCTAAAGAATCAGAGCGTTTGTTGGGGGATTTAAATCTTAACATCTAAGTGTTTGATTTAACAGTATGTAATGCAATGGCATAAAGTTAATGAATCGTTGTTGAAACTTCAATTATTTCATTTTTTAATGTGCTTTTTTGCATGCAACTTGGACCAAGTACCTCTGAGCTGTACTGTATATTAACTTACACTTCATATTGTTCTTTTGGGTGAGGTTAACTGGCATTCATTTTGTAAGGCAGTGAGTAGAACTGTGGTGGATATGGACTTTTGGCACTATGTAGAAACTCGTGAGTGTAAGACACCTTGTCATATATCTAATCTTTCTACTGAAGTGAGGCCTTTGCATTGTAAATTCTTGTCCATGTTCCATATCTTCTTTGCTGATTTTGAAATCAATTGTCCTTTCATTTAAGAGGCCAGCAGGCCTGGTGTTCTGGAGTTTCTCTCCTACTGTGTAAACCTTCCCACCTTTTTCCTTTATACACACCAGTGAGTACTGCTATGGCCCTCTTTGTTTACAAACCATACAGCACTCTTTATGCTTTTTAGCTCATGGTTCATTATAGCTCTAGCTAGTTCAGCACATTTACAAAGCAGTGCAGCTTTTGTCTAGTTTGAGATGTATAATGAAAAATCAAGCTTAAAACTTTTTCTATACCTTCTCTTTCAATAGGTACACAAAATATCTCTTAAACACCATATCTTCAACCTTGAACTTTTGCTCAATTCAAGTGCAACCTTTTGCTGTAAATGCAAAATAAAATTTTGCATAAATTTTTAGATGGTATGAATGTGAGATTCTATATTTGTTTAGGAATTTCAAAATCCTACATTGTGGTGACCATGTTTACTTTGTCCTTTAACTAATTTGAAGCAGTTAATGATAATCAGTACTTGTAGGTTAAAAATTTTTTGTCATCCTTTCTAACGAATTTTGCTAGTTGCTATGGATTCAAAGGAAGTTTAACACGCCCAGGTGTTTCTCAGTTCTGTGTCAGTGAAATGAAAGTCAACAAAAAGCTTACAGAGTTTTCTTCATCAGTAGTTTGACTTGTTTTCTTTGGCCTGTCTTTTCTTTCAACAATTTCCAATTGAAAATGTTTCAAGTTGTGCAAAAGGACTTTTTAAAACTTATGAGATTTATCTTTTGCTAGTAACTTAGGCAGTTTGTCTTAATTTTGTTTTCTCTCTCACATTGTGCTGTAATTGTGGTGCTCTTTATTTATCTTTTTTTAGTTCTTGTCTCACCATATCATTCTTAGCTGCAACAGTTGATTTTTGAAGGGCATCATATTCTAATGAAACTGTTAAAAGAGGAGTTATTGAAAGGTTACATTTATTACCTTTTTTTCTGCAGGTATTTTTCCCTGCAATGTGCGGTTGATACGATTGTGTGGCAAACTACTGAGAGCAATATTCAGAGGAAAAAAGTCTGTTTTAAGCTATTACAACATCTGAAGTTAGAAATACCAAGATGTAAACCAAGCTCTATACCCCAGGTTTGGTGCATTTATATCATGATGAAGCTAATGCTAAGATTAAAGAATGTTACAACTTGCTTTACGGTGACTAAAGTTTACTAGTTCCCAATTTTGAAAGTTAAGTTGCAATAATTTACTTTTCTAGTGGCCATGGTGACCAAAACAGTCACAGCTTGGAGTGTAATAGATGTAATAGGCTATACTTTTTGCATTATGACATTAGGTGAATGTGTAATGCTGTTGCATACAGTTGAACATACACAGCATAGACATGGGTTTTAATTTTTTTCCCTTTTAATGATATATACTGTTGGTCTTATATTAAAGGACATTATTTTCTTTAGAAGCTTGATATGTTTCTTGTCATCTTACTTTATTTAGGAAGAAAAAGAAAAACTCTGATCTGCAAGTCTTCATTCATCATGTGCGATAAAGCTGCATGTGACAGGCAAAGCAAGTGCTCTTATCTTCTTAGGAAGTTGCAAGATTTCTTTCACCATGATAAGATTGTGGATGGAGGTGACAGTATTAAGCAGTTGACTCAAATCATTGGTGTGGTCAGTGGCTGTGATGAAGGTCAAGCCTATTTTAAAGCTGTACAACAATATGTTGTGCAAACTATGATAGGGCTATTAGAAGGTTCTGGAGACCACTTTATCTTTCTACCTCCTGAAAGTGATTTGTTTAATGAATCAAATGCTCTTTATCTTTTAAGTCTCCTGGCTTTTCAAGCTGGGGACACTGCTTGTTTGGAGGAAATTGCAAGCTTCCCTCAAAGTTATCCTAATGATGGTTATTTGATGATCAGTGTGGGAGTGATGTTAAGTCAGAGGATGAAGTATAAGCTTGGTGAAAAATGTTTTCTGAGTGCATTGAGTTACTTTGAACATGAACAGAATCATCTGGGCACTGTTGTTACCACTGTGAACTTGGCAGCCTTTCATAAGATTTGTGGAGACTATCAGAAAGCTAAGTCTTATTGTAATGCTGCAGTTGGGTTTTGCTGGGATTTCACAAGGACCCCAGCAACTGATGTTCATTTGAAAGTAGCCTTTAGACTTGTTACCCTATCTCAAGAACTCACAGACTACAAAAGTTATCATGATATTCTGAGTGTTGCTGTGAAATATGACATTGACCAGATTAGAGATACTTTTGCAGTGCAGCACATGAAGCAGCTGATGACTTTGCAACTGAAAGAACATGAAGGTGAACAGATTAAACATGACAAACTGGAAGAACTTGCCTTACAACTGTTTGTTGCAGATACATTCATACAAGCACAACCACTGACTGCTGACTTCATAGCAATTGTTATGACATTGGCAGAGATGTACTGCACCACTAAGTGCTTTAATGAAGCTAGGCAGTTGATTGACAAGTTGGAGTCAACATTCCTGCATTTTAATGGTGGAAATTGCCCACTTTTTGGCTTTTTACAGTACCAAATTGGCCACTTTAAATTTAAGTATGGAGAGGCTAGTGACGCACAGAGTAGTCTCCTAAAAGCTGAGCAAATATACATCCACTTCTTTGGGATAGAGCATCACATGGTTGGATCATGCAAGAGTCTACAGGGTGCCTGTGCCTTGCAGAAAGGAAACCGTAAGGCGGCCTGTTATTTTCTAAAGGAGGCTTGCATTATTTTTGAGGAAATAAATCCCCACCACCAAAAAGTAGGCACAATTCTTTTGAAGTTAGCTGATCTGGAGAGTGAGGCTGGAAATTTTGAGAATGCCAAATTAACCATTGAAGAAGCATTGGAAATGTTCATATTGTCTTGTGGTAAGGTCTCCCTTAAGACAGCCCTTGCTTATCTTCAGGGTGCATCTATTCTGCAAAGGAAAGGAAAATTCATGCGTTCAGCTTTGGACAAAGTGAAAGAAGCCAAGGACATCTTTATCTACCATGGCTTGCGCCATGATCATCCAGATGTTGCCTTCTGCCACTGTTTGCAAGGCCAGTTACTGCACTCCCTGGGTCAAGTCAAAGAAGCAGAAGAGGAGTTTCTCTTTGTACATCATCAGCTATCATCACAAGATGACTTGTCTATGAAGACCAAGGTTATTACCCCTGAACTTTTTCGAATGTTCTTTTTGGTAGATACTGATGGTCTTGCCCTCAAGGGTTCTCTCTTTTCCCACTTTCTTTCTCTTGTCAGTCTGGTTCATATGAAAACAAGGGATGAAAAAACTGGTCATATGAGAGAAATGTTCAGCTGTTTGGAAGAGCTAGACTCCGAGTTCCTGACAGTTTCAAATAATGTGGGCAAACATGTGCACTGTGCATTGCAGAGAATTTTGGAGGCTGATATCCAGGTTTATTGCATCTTCATTCCTGATTCTGCTACACCACTAGAAGAGGATGAGTCCTTTTCATCATCATACAGTGACAAGGAAAAGAGGCCATCAGGAGATTTTGACAATGTGTTCTTGATGTCATCATGCAGTGGCAATGGAAAGAGGCCACGATTTCTTCTCTTCTGGAAGACATCTGATGTCTTGGAAACAGGAGACTTGGGCTGTGTTACCTCTTCCTTCCGTGAAAGTGTTAAACTACTGTGTCTACAGCCTAAGTTTAGAAAAACTTTCCATGAGAAACAAGAGTTTTTCATGAAGCTGCCAATTCAAGAGCAATCACCTGCTGTACCTTCCCTCTCTTCCCGAATTGACTCTCTTCCACTTCTAGTTGATTTAGAGTTATCAAAATTGCACAACCAGTGTGACAGCATAGATAGTTCTCCCACTGCATCTACTCTTTGGCCTTTGGCTCATGTGTCTTACTTTTCCTTTAGATTTTCTTCCTCTGATAAGGCACTGCTTGTTTTTTTCAAGTGGATTTCTAGTTTAAGTAGAAAACTGGAATTGTCTGAGGTGCTCAGCATTTCAACTCCAAAGATCCCCTTGGCTTTACATAGGAATTGTGCAGTCCACTTTACTTTTTTGGACCCTATCTGTGCCTCCTTGTCACTTGCTGTTGAGGAAGGATCTGTTTATGTAAAGTGTCGAGCTGTAAAAGAAAGTGGGTCAACTTGTATTTGTTCCTCTGTGAAGTGTGCTTTGGAGAGCATCATGGAGTCTCTTGAGTCTGATTTTCGAGGATCAGGCTTTGAACAAACTCAGTGTTTGCCATGTGTGGAGGATGGTGGTGAAAATGCTAAGGAGCCAACAAAATGTTATTGTCACTGTAAGGACTTTCAAGACAAATCTTCCTGCAATTCTGACCAAAAGTTGGATTTACATGCACAAACCAACTGGGAACCAGATTCTGATGTGCTAAAGATAGGACCATCTATTGACCTGTCACAGACTGAGGTAATTAAAATTTTTACTTTGTGATTGATATCACTAAAACAAGTAGGTTCATAGGTTAAAACTTCTCCAGATAAATATTTGTTTTGGCATGATGCAAATGTATACATGCTTGTACAAGGTGTAATCTTATTTCTTTCTCTTTCTACCTTTAAAGAAGGCAAGGAAGGGGGCTATTTAGTTTAGGAGTCAAAAATTTTTTATCCTCATTATTTTGAGAAGGTTAATTATTTTTACTCAAACAGTGTAGTGGTTGAAGTAGAATCTTGCAGTCACTGTCTCAAGATATTTTTGAATCAGCATATATCTTTTAGAACTTTGGGTCATCTGTCATTCTGAAAAATTCCCCAAGATGCACTGATAGAATTGGAAAAGATGGTGAATTTTCCAAGATGTTTAGACCATTTTTATCAAAGTTTTTGTCGTTTGCATTGCCATGAGTTTCCTGTGTGATTGATAAAGAGGGTAATTAAAATGTTTCTAAGTTTAGGGTTAAAATGAAGGAATGTATTGGACTCTGGATCAAGAATTCCAAATTCTAGCTTTTGCTGGAGTCACTAGGCTTTGTTCTCGGTCACTCTTTAACTCTTTAACTCTCAAGACATGATTGTTAATTCTCCCCTCTAGTCGCTACAAATTTCCTTGTAAACAAGTTATGAGAATTTGGTGTTAGATCAAGATAACAGCTTCTACCTGATACATTTGAGTATTCTCATTACCTGCTTGCTGGATAGTGAATAGATGGATGTTGTAGGGAGAAGTCACTTGTTAATCACTTGTTAAAGACTTGAAAGTCATTGATTTAGAATTCATAAAGGTAGAATTTCTAGTATAAAATAAGTCCATTTTCGGCAGGATCCTGTTTATTGAAATTGTTCTCTTTTTGGTTATAAAACATTATAACTAAAAGAAAGAGTGAATATCAATCATTGTAGATTTACCCATAACTGGGAGATGTCATCATGAAATTATTTATGAAAAGATTAATATTACAATGACTTCATGTATTATTTTTATTTGCCTTAAATTGACTATGGTTTTTTTTATTTGATAGGATACTGAAAGCTTATCATTCACTGCCCACTCTGGAGACAAGATTGGTACTGATGTTTGTGTAAACCTTTTAGAGTGTATTTTGAGAAACAGACAGTTATCTTTAGAAATACAACTTTCAGGCAACAACGATGGATTATATACTACTGATGGTACAGAAGAACATGTTAACTCTCTTTTAACTCCTGTGTCAGCCTCATCACTGAACAGTTTGCCCTTGAGTCAGTATGATGCCACACATGAAAACCCAGAGTTTATGCAGAAAGCTTTGCCATCTTTGAAGAATGTCTGTGGAGAAACATATTCAGGAAAAGAGACAGGTAATGTCTCAAACACATCATCAACTTCACAGGGAATATTTGTCAGCAGTCACTACCATGAGAGTGCAGCAGTGAAGTCAAATTGTGAAGAAGGTTGGATTGCAAAGTATCATCCTAGCTCAGAAACCAAAGACAATTTGCCACCAAATGGAAGTCCTCAGGAGACGTGCAGTGTTCAAAGCATTGAAGCATGCTCTAACAAAGAGGAGTTGAGGGAGGATCACGGAATGGAATTTGATCAGAGTCTTGGACTTCCATTGATCACAGAGAATGGCAAAGGCACCATTCCCAATGGCAACCTGATCTGTGAATTGCAAGATGAAGTCGTGTTCTACCAGGATCAATGCTATGAACTAAGAGAAGAATTAATAAAATTGAAAGAGAAGTTGAAGCTCTGTGAAGAGGAGAAACAAGGTCTTCAAGCTGACATAGGAAGACAGTTGTTTCTAGAAAGCAAAGAAAGACGATGCAGGGAAAAGGTTTATCAACCCCCCAGCAAACATGCCAGTGGAATGAGTAAGCCTGTTGGCGTTAGAGGTGCATCCCATGACTTTTCAGGTACAGATGTTAGGCTGCTTGGTGGTGCATGTCCTTTAGAAAAAGCAGGTAAATACTTTTTGGAATAGTTACTGTGGCTATTGTGCTCCTGATAGGATTCATATTAACTGTATGTTACTTCTACTACAGATTTGCATTATTGGTGTACATTACTTATCATGTCCTAAAGATGATCACCAGAAAGCGTGCTCGATTGGTAAAGATCATGGCTTTCCGTCTTTGTCTTTCAATAATGCACATTAAAAGGCATATGTTGCACAATCTGAAACCGTGTTGTATAGCCATTTAGTCAGTATGTCAAGTTATAACTGAAAATTAATACTGTACCTTTATTTAGAAATTCCATTACATTAACAAAGGCTTTCAAAATTTCATCTTTCTTGGGATAAGTATGCGTGCATGCATTATACTATTCCAAGACGGTATTAATGTGAATGAGAAAAATAACTGCATTTCTAAGAGTTACCTCACATTTATCTTGTTTGTGTTTCCTTTTGCAGGTATCTTGCTTCAACAAAGACTCCAGGAGATCTCACTTTCCCTTTCAGAATTGGAACTAAGCAGGATCAAGAAGCTTGTTCGACCCATGTTGGATAGCTTTAGACTAGCCAGGATCAGGGAGGCTTCAGAGTTGTTTGAGGAATTAGAAAGAAGAGGGAAGTTTTCCTTTTCCTTTGTTAAAGATCTTCTGGAAAGAATCCATCGTTTTGATCTTGTAGAGAAACTTGCTGAACCTTTTCACAATGGTGGAGAATCGTGTAGAAGGGAATCTTGTTCACCTCAAGAGAACAAACAACTGGTTGACATGTCTGAAAGTGTTTCTGGTGTCAATGGTAAACAATGCGATGAAATGGAAGAAAGGAAAGAAATATTTGACAACACTGAAGTTGATGAAGAGGACGAAGTTTGCAACAATTCCAATGTAAACTCACTTAATGGTGATAAAGAGGGGGCTGCTCTTACTTTTCATGCCGAGAGTGTGAATGGATCAAGGTTTTTTGGAGATGTGGATTTGTCAGAGGAGAGATACGATTCAGCCTCAGGTTTGTCTCAGTCATTTGATGCGTCAAGTATTGGATTGGACTCCCGAGAGAAGTCTTGGTCACCTTCATTTACAGTTGAACAATTTGAAAGTGAAAAGCTGAAAGGAGCATGTGCTGCTAATGGCAAAAGGGTCAAAGAAGTTACTCATGACTTCTCTTTTCCTGATGGTGCAGAGACACAATCTTATTCTAATCATCACTTTAATGACACTATAGATGGTGCAGCTAATTTACCAGAAAGAGCCCAAGATAGTTTAAAGCAAGAAGACTTGACTAGTGTGAATCAAGATTCTCTTCCAAATGGAGACACAACTCAGAGGCAAAATGTTTCAGGTGCAAGGTTCACTGCTCAAAAGGACACAGCAATAGATCTTTCTGACTCTCATGTGAGCAGTCAGTCAAAGAAATGGGAGCATTTAGGGGCCAGGCCAAGAGACAGACCTCTTAAAACAGACAGATGTCCAGAACCTTCTTTGCTAAACTCATTGGAAGACTTGGTACCTCCACAAGTTGCTGGACCTGTGGCTCATGGAGTGGCCAACACATTCTTAGAAAGACACTCAGAAGACAAACATCTTCATGAAAGTTTATATTACACTAATGTTGAGAAGATGTTGACTGAGAATTCTTCATTACAAGGAGCCTCTCATGTAGACAGCATGGTAAACTTGACTGAGTCAAATAAAGCTCAACTGTACTTTGGTGAATGTCAAGTTCCTTTCAGGTCAGATCCATATTCTCAAACATATGCGTCAGTGTTCCCTCAGACTAGTGGAGCATGTATTGGAGGAAATAACAGTTCAAACACTGGCCTCAACTTATTGAATCCTAATGTAGCCAACAACTTTGTGCCTTTTACAGGACTGCAAGATGGGACTTTTCCATCTTTACAAAGAAATGAAGTTTTTCATTCAGGGTTCACTGGTTCAGGATTGACCTCTGATTTCATGCAGCCCACAGGATCTCAAATAGGTGCCTTTAACACGTTGAATTTCAATTTATCATTAAATGAGTATGCTCTTGGTACAAGAGAGGCTCAAACACCACCGGATGGGCATTTTACAAGTTTACAAATTAATCAACCAATTCACCTAGGGTTACATGGTTCAGGCTTCACTTCTGACTTGACAGGGTCCATAAGGCCTGAAATGACACATTCTGCAACTGGTACACATAGAAACAGTGACTTCAGTGGCAGTGCATCAATGTTACCTTCAACAAGAAATTCTGGATTATTAGGAAGTTCATCAGTTAACAAGCAAACCTATGGTTTCCCTCCAGATGCTTCCCCAACTTCATCTTCAGGAGCAAGGGTTAATGGATCTGATAGCAGGCTTTTTTCAGAATCAGAGTCAAGTAGAGTTAGTCAGTTATTGCCAGTCACAACAGGCAGGGATGGTTTGAATACATCTGAAGAGGTTAACTCTAGTAGCAATGCAATGAATGCATCTGGTGATCATTTGGCTTCTGGACGCTATAGAGAAGGAAGCAGGGCCTATAATTCTTCAAGCTCTCACATGATATCTGGTACTGATACAGGGGAGAGTCAATCTGGCGAAACTGAAGATTCAGTCACAAACAGAAACTATGGTACAGAGTCAGTAGAGTCTACAGATAACTCCCTGCTTGAATTGGAACAGCGTGTTGAAGAGGCTTGTGCAATGGTGGAAAGAGTGCTTAGGGAGAGAGAAGAAAGAGAAGAGTTTGGTCGGGAAATTGAAAGAAAAGAGCGTGAAATTCGAGCAGAAAGAGCACGAAAGAAGAGAGAAAGAGAAGCAAGGGAGCTAGAGGAAGCCAGAGGATGGCCTCAACAGCAGGAACCAGTTACTGGACAATCTTTATGGCTTTGTGAGCATTACCAACGTCATTGTAGAGTACGTTTCCCTTGCTGTAACAACTTCTATTCATGCCACCGTTGCCATAACAATTCCAAGGAATGTGACAATGAGGAAGCTAAAGCAAGTCATGCAACTCACCTTAAATGCAGCTATTGTCATCATGAACAAGAGGTGATGAAAGGTTTTTAGTTATGTTGTAAATTATAGTTATAAAAATTGCCACATTTTGTTCTGGGAGTGGTAGAAAACATCCAGGGAGGAGATTCATGTCCTTTTTTCCAGTAATGTTTGTTAACTGTTTTGGTGAGCTATTAATTACAATACACTCTTTACTGTCGTTAACTCACTTTGCACGTGTTTGCAAAATTTTAGTCGCCATTGAAATAAACATTAAGCAAAACAAATCTCACTGCAAAGTCAGATACCAAAATGTTATCCCCTTTCCATGGCAACTACACTGGCCACAGGTTGGAGCACTGTTCTCCCTGATGAATGAGACAATCTATGTTAAGAACTTTGTGACCATAATTCCCACTAACTTAGAGTGTGAGACTTTGAGTTTGATTTTCCAAATCATTTCCTTTCAGATTGGTGAAGACAGTGGCAAGTGTCGTAGTTGTGGAGCAAAGATGTCAGCATACTTCTGTGCTATTTGTAAACACTTCACCAGCATTGACAAAAATCCATACCACTGTGAAAAATGTGGAATATGCCGGTAACTGACCTGACAGAGTTTTCAGTTAATAAAGAACTTTTCTGTTGTGTTTTCCAAAGCTTTTTATGTTTTGAAGCCACATGAGCTTTTTCAAGGGCTCAAAGTGTAACTTTTCTTGTAAGTCATCTTTTTGGCAACCTACATGTGTAGAAACATAGAATGGTTACCAGAAAGTAAACACTTAAACAGCTCACATTTTGCCTAAATCTTTCTTTTCTCAATCCTACCTTGAAGCCAGCTTAACAAATTTGATTTTTCTACCACTTCAAGCAGGGCACTGGTCTTATTATGCCATGTTTTCTTGTAGCATACATAAAGACAAATCATTCCACTGTGATGTGTGCAATGTCTGTCTCGACAAACGCCTTCAAGGAAAGCACAAGTGTAGGCCAGACTCTGGCCATGATGAATGCTGTATCTGTTTAGAGGTGAGCTGGTAAACTTCAAAATTCTTAACCATTGGTTTCTTAATCATTTTTATTATTATTTATATTATTATTATTATTATTATTATTATTATTATTATTATTGTTACTATTGTTGATATATTTGTAACAATTTTCCTTTTCACTTCTTTTCTCATGAGTAAATGATCCTACTCTGTAAGTGTAACACTGTGTTCTTTCCAAAGTAAGGTATCGAAAATCACTTTCACACAAGCTGTGTTCTCTGACCAGTTTTACACCTTCTGACATTTTACTGTTTTTTTTTTTTTTTTTTGGCCAGAAGTCATATAAATGTGACACTTACTTTAGATTCAGACATACTTCGGTACAATTTTTCTAACCCACTACATGTGTATATACTAGTAAACTTGTTTATACCTTCCTTTCATCCCTTATTTCTTGACTATATGATAACTCTATGTTAATTATGACTTCAGCATAATAACTTTTCATTTTTGGTTTACTCATAGGATGCTTTCAGTGGATGTCAGATTTTACCCTGCTCACACAAGGTTCATCGAGAATGTGCAATAGCTATGATACAGAATGGAATGTAAGCACTTAATTCTTCTAATCAATATTCCTTCTTCACTTCTTTGCCTTGTTTGTTTATTTGTATGTTGTTGGGCTAGGCTACACAATTTCCACTTGATCATCATCACTTTCCCAGAGAAAACAAGAAGTATATCCAAAGTTAAAAACTCTTCTAAGCAGCTACCTCATACACTACTGTGACCAGACTATTTTCAGTTATTGGAAATTCTCAGAACTACTAGGATGAACCTTTTGTGCAACCACTTAAGGTAATGCAAGCTCATTAAGAAGCATCAGTTGGGTTACAAGCCTTGCATTTTATTTGTTTAACTTTTCCCTCAGAAAGTGGCAATTGGTCCTCTACCTGGGTGCAATAAGGCTTGTCTGGCTTATGGATACTTTTCCGTGTTTTCTTGCAAGTGAGGAACCCACTCCACTACTTCCTCACTTGCTTGTAGGGAATCAGAATTCTGCTGTAGGGCATATAACCTGTTAGTTAACTACAGGTAGCAAAAAAATTGATTTGTATGCCAATTATTAGTAATTGTATGTCTCTTATGTTTCTTATTTAAGCCGCACATGCCCAGTATGCAGACACCCATTATACAGCCCAGCTCCTGAGTGAAAATTGCTGCATTTCATGTTGGTGACAGTCAGCTGCTCAAGGCATGTCTATCAGAAGGAAAAGCATGTCAAAAAGAGAAGAAAATGTTTTACAATTCTGATATTAGAGTGTATATTAAATAAGTATGCGTTATGAAACAAACAAATTTCAGACATTATTTGTACATTGTTTGAGTTAAAGCTGACTCACCACATTGCTTTAAGAAAAATGGCTTTCAGTTAGGTTTTGGTGAAAGACATGTTCTTTGAATGCTAAATATCTTTGAGAAGGAAACAATTTTGTTCCACTTTTGAAAAAAATTGAGAACATGGTATTAAAATGAAGAAAAGGTACATGATTATTAAAGAATTATCTTGTTTGTTGAGGTTGTTTAAGGTAATTGCTTGAGATTTATTGTCCCATAATTTTGAAAAATTCAGCTGTTACATTGTATTTTAATATCTATTGTGATCAATTCTATGTATGTTCAATTTATTATAAGTATTATTGATCAAGTTGGTCAGCCTTTTATGTGGAGTTTATTCGGTAAATTGCAATAAACTTTTGTGCTATGAAAAGTCTTCAACAGTGTGGCCGCCTTGCAACCAACCCCCTACACACACCCTTGCCCTATCCCCTGCCCCACCCCTCGTATGTTTAAAGGGAAGCTTTTCATGAAAGTAATAGGGCTTACCAAAACTGGTATTTCGGTAAGAAAAGAAGAAAGGAGGTTGCCTATTCATGGGGTTTTACTGTTCTTCCCTCGGCGAAGTTCCTCGCTTCGACGACATTATTTGCTTATTTTTGACCCTGACGTCATTTTCTACCTAATACGGAGACAACGAAGTAGGCAAGATGGCGCAGGCAAGATATGTTTGAATAATTACATGGGCTCAGGGGACGAAGATCTAGGTAGAAACCCCAAGTTTCATCGCTTAATTTGTTTTGAACAATAGTTATTAATGTTGATCGTACTTTATTCGTTAGCAGCTTCGAATAAGCTTCAAATTGACGATCATAGCGCCCACGTAGCCGAGGTAGGTGTGAATGTTATTGTTTTTCGTTCCGTGTTTAGGACATTCGAAAACTAAAATGTCGATTAAGTATCGTTTTAATCACTTCGTAAAAGGTTTCGTAACCGAAAGAGTTGTAAAGATTGTTCAAACACACGACGTTACGGTTTATTACATTTGACAACTGGAAAAAAACCGAGGTCATTGATTAAAACACGCTTTGGACTATTGGACTTTGATTCGGCTGAAGTGAGTGCCCCACTTCGGTGTTATGGATTCATACAGATTTTCTGAACGAAACTATCTTATCAAAATATCCTCATGACACCATTTAACTCATGTTCACTAGCCTTAACTTCATAATGAAATGCATAAGCGCACAAAAATATTTATTTTTAAATCCAAGAAGTCGCCTCGTCTGTGCCACAAATAAACAGAAGAGAGGAACAGAATCCTAACCAATTCTTATACTTAGGGTGGATTATCCTGCAATAATAAGTACCTCGATTATCTTTATTCTTAATTATTTCCTTAAGATTTACCGATGAGGAGCTAAATATATTTCATTAATTGTAAATTAAATGGCCGAAATAAAATAAAGGGCCGAGTTTACCAGAAATTAAATCAAGACATGCTGATGTTGGAACTTGTTTCACGCTTTCTTCTTATATGGAGGGTCTATGTTGACTGTTTTAAATCATAACATAGAGATAATGAAATAACAAAAACAGAGAGTTGGTAAGATATAAACTTAAGCGATTTTCCGAACGAGTACGGAAAAAATACTTTAAGATTTGATGTGAAATCAGAGTAATTGGTCGGTGTTTATCGAATTTAGAATAACACTTGGTCACGAGAGAGTTCTAATGTCTTGATACAGCATTTTGATTTATAATATTGGACGAAGCGATGGCCAAAAATCCTAAGAGATCTAGTTTGTTTGGTAAATGAATTTGGTATTTTGTTAGCTCCATTAAGTCATTTTTGAGCTGATAATGGTGCTATTGAATTCTGGTGACAAGTCGCATGAAGATTAAGTCTAGCAACCTGCTATTTACTGGTACTGGTATCTGGTCAATTCGCCACTACTAAAAACTCAACACCACGAAACTCACGAAAGAATCGTTGTTGAAACTTCGATTATTTAATTTTTTAACATGCTTTTGGTGTGCAACTTGGGCCAAATACCTCTGAGCTGTACTTTATATTAATTTAAACTTCATATTGTTCTTAAAGGCTTTTGGTTAAGGTTAACTGGCAAGCCTTTTAACAAGTGAGCCAGAAATATTTAAACTTTATGCATTTTGTAAGGCAGTGAGTAGAACTGTAGTGGATATGGAATTTTTGCTCAATGTAGAAACTCGCAAGTGTTAGACACCTTGTCAAACATCTAATATTTCTTCTGAAGTGAGGCCTTTGTGTTGGAAATTCTTGTTTCCCATCTTCCCTACTGAGTTTGACATCAGTGGTCCTTTCATCAAAGTAGCCAGCAAGCCTGCTCTAATCTAAAAATGATGTGGTGTTCTTGAATTTCTTTCCTGCAATGTAAACCTTTTCTCCTTATTCCTTTACACATACCAGTGAGTACTGCTACGGCCCTCTTTGGTTACAAACCATGCAGCACTCTTTATGGTCTTTAACTTATGATTCATAGCTCTAACTAGTTTAGCACATTTAAAAAGGGGTGCAGCTTTTTGCCCAGGTTGAGATGTATAATGAAAAGTTGTGCTTAAAACTTTTGCCATACCTGCTCTTTCAATTTGGGTATAAAATATCTCTTAAACACCATCTTCAACCTTGAACTTTTTCTCAATTCAAGCACAAACTTTTGGTGTAAATGTAAAATAAAATTTTGTGTAAATTTTTAGGAGGTATGCACGTGAGATTCTACATTTAAAAATCCCATGTCGTAGCAACCATGTCTACTTTATCTTTAGACTAATTTTTAAGCAGATAAGGATAATCAGTGCTTATAAATTGAAAAATTTTGTCATCCTTGCTAATGAATACTGTTGCTATGGATTCAAAGTAAGTTTAACATTCGCAGGCATTTCTCAGTTCTGCATGATCAGTGTCAGTGAAATGAAAGTCAACAAAAAGCTTGCAGAGTTTTCTTCAGTAGTTTGACTTGGTTTTTTTGCCCTGTCTTTTCTTTGAGCAATTTCCAATTGGAAATGTTTTCAGTTGTGCAAAGAGTTTTCGTAAAACCTGTGAGATTTGTCCTTTCCTGATAACTTAAGCAGTTTCTCTCAACTTTTTTTTCACTCATATTGTGCTACTCTTTATTTATTTGTCCTTTTTGTCTTACTAATATCATTCTTGGTTACAGCAGTTGATTTTTTGTGGGGCATCACATTGTAATGAAACTTTAGAGAAAGTAGTTATTGAAAGGTTACATTTATTGTCTTTTTCTGCAGGTATTTTCTTCTGCAATGTTCAGTTGATGCAATTGTGTGGCAAACTACTCTTACAACATGTAAAGTTAGAAATACCAAGATGTAAACCAAGCTCTTTACCCCAGGTTTGGTGCATTAATATTATGATGAAGTTAATGCTAAGATTAAAGAATGTTACATCTTGCTATATGATGACTAAAGTTTACTAGTTCTCAATTTTGAAAGTTTAGTTGCAACAATTTTCTTTTCTATAGTGGCCAAGTTGACCAAAACAGTCACAGCTTGGAGTGTAATAGATGTAATTGGCTATGCTTTTTGTATTATGACATTAGGTGAATGTATAATGATGTTGCATACAGTTGAACATACACAGCACAGACATGGGTTTTAATTTTTTTTCCCTTTTAATGATATATATACTGTTGGTCATATTATTATAAGACATTTTCTTTAGAAGCTTATGTTTCTTGTCATCTTACTTTATTTAGGTAGAAAAAATCTGATCTACAAGTCTTCATTCATCATGTGCGATAAAGCTGCATGTGACAGGCAAAGCATGTGCTCTTATCTTCTTAAGAAGTTGCAAGATTTCTTTCACCATGATAAGATTGTGGATGGAGGTGACAGTATCAAGCAGTTGACTCAAATCATTAGTGAAGTCAGTGGCTGTGATGAAGGTCAAGCCTATTTTAAAGCTTTACAACAATATGTTGTGCAAACTATGATAGGGCTATTAGAAGGTTCTGGAGACCACTTTATCTTTATACCTCCTGAAGGTGATTTGTTTAATGAATCAAATGCTCTCTATCTTTTAAGTCTCCTGGCTTTTCAAACTGGGGACACTGCTTGTTTGGAGGAAATTGCAAGCTGCTCTCAGGGTTATCCTAGTGATGGTTATTTGATGATCAGTGTGGGAGCGATGTTAATTCAGAGGATGAAGTATAGGCCCAGTGAAAAATGTTTTTTGAGTGCATTGAGTTATTTTGAACATAAACAGAATCATCTGGGCACTGTTGTTGCCACTGTGAACTTGGCAGTCTTTCATAAGATCTGTGGAGACTATCGGAAAGCTCAGTCTTATTGTAATGCTGCGGTTAGGTTGTGCTTGGATTTCACAAGAACCCCAGCAACTGATGTTCATTTGAAAGTAGTCTTCAGACTTGCTATCTTGTCTCAAGAACTCAAAGACTACAATAGTAATCATGATATTCTGAGAGTTGCTGTGAAATTTGACATTGACCAGATTAGAGATGCTTTTGTAGCGAAGTGCATGAAGCAGCTGATGACTTTGCAACTGAAAGGACTTGAAGGTGAACAGATTAAACATGACAAACTGGAAGAGCTTGCCTTGCAACTCAATGCAGTAGATGCATTCCCAAAAACACAGCCACTGAATGCTGACTTCATTGTAACCTTTATGATGCTGGCAGAGATGTATTTCTCTATCAAGTGCTTCAAAGAGGCTAGGCAGTTGATTCACAAGTTGGAGTCAACATTCCTGCATGCCTATGGTGGAAATTGCCCACTCTTTGGTTTCTTGCAGTACAAAATTGGTCACTTCAAATTTATTTATGGAGATGCTAGTGAAGCACAGAGTAGTCTCATTAAAGCTGAGCAAATATTCATTCACTACTTTGGTAGAGATCATCACATGGTTGGATCATGCAAGAGTCTACAAGGTGCCTGTGCCTTGCAGAAAGGAAACCTAAAGGAGGCCTGTCATTGTCTAAAGGAGGCTCGCATTAGTTTTGAGAAAATAAATCACCACCACCCTAAAGTAGGCAAAATTCTTTTGAAGGTTGCTGATCTGGAGAGTGAGGCTGGAAATTTTGAGAATGCCAAATTAGCCATTGAAGAAGCATTAGAAATGTTCATATTATCTTGTGGTAAGGTCTCCCTTCAGACAGCCCTTGCTTATCTTCAAGGTGCATCTATTCTAAAATGGAAAGGAAAATTCATGCGTTCAGCTTTGGAAAAAGTGAAGAAAACCACTGATATCTTTATACTCCATGGCTTGCACCATGATCATCCAAATGTTGCCTTCTGCCGCTGTTTACAAGGCCAGTTACTGCACTCCCTGGGTCAAGTCAAAGAAGCTGAAGAGGAATTTCTCTTTGTACATCATCAGCTATCAACACGAGATGACTTGTCTATGAAGACCTGCAGTTCTGACCAAAAGTTGGATTTACATACACAAACCAACTGGGAACCAGATTCTGATATGCTAAAGATAGGACCTTCTGTTGACCTGTCACAGACTGAGGTAATAAAGTTATTACTTTGTGAATTAAATCATTAAAACAAGTAGGCTCATAGGCTAAAACTTCTTCAAGTAAATTTTTGCTCTGGCATGATGTAAATGTATACATGTATGTACATGGTGTAATCTTATTTCTTTCTCTGTCTGCCCTTGAGCCCTTGAAGAAGGCAGAGGAGGGGGCTATTTAGTTAAGGAGTCAAAAATGTTTTGTTGCCATTATCTTGGGAAAGTCAATTATTTTTACTCTGTAGTGGTTGAAATGGAATCCTACAATCACTGTTTCAAGATCTTTTTGAATCAGCATATATCATTTAGAACTTTGGGTCATCCTTCACTCAGAAAAATTCCCCAGGATGCACTGATAGAATTACTGAGATGTGTAGACATTTATCATGCAAAATGTTTGTCATTTGCTTTGTCAAGAGTTTCCTGTGTGATATGATAAAGAGGGTAATTAAAATGTTTCTAAGTTTAGGGTTAAAATGAAGGAATGTATTAGACTCTGGATCAAGTATTCCAAATTTAAGCTTTCACTGGGGTCACTGGGCTTTGTTAAAGACATGAAAGTCATTGATTTAGAAATCATAAAGGGTAAAATTTCTAGTATAAAATAAGTCTATTTTCAGCAGGATCTTATTTATTGAAATTGTTATCTTTTCTGAGGTATAACTAAAAGAAAGTGTGAGTATCATTGTAGATTTACCCATAACTGGGAGATACCATCATGAAATTAAGTACAAAAAGATTAATATGATAATAACTTAATGTATTATTTTTATTTGCTTTGAATTGACTATGGTTTGTTTATTTGATAGGATACCAAAAGCTTATCATTCACTGCCCACTCTGAAGACAATATTGTCACTGATGTTTGTGTAGACCTTTCGGAGTGTATTTTGAGAAACAGACATTTATCTTTAGAAGTACAACTCTCACACATAAATAATGGATTATATACTACGGATGGTACAGAAGAACATGTTAACTCTCTTTTAAGTCCTGGGTCAGCCTCATCACTGAACTGTTTGCCCTTAAGTCAATATGATGCCACAAATGGAAAACAAGAGTTCATGCAGAAAGCTTTGCCATCTTTGAAGAATGTCTATGGAGAAACATGTTCAGGAAAAGAGACAGGAAATGTCTCAGACACATCATCAACTTCACAGGCAATCTTTTTCAGCAGTCACTACCATGAGAGTGCTGTAGTGAAGTCAAATTGTGAAGAGGGTTGGATTGAAAAGTATCATCCTAGCTCAGAAACCAAAGACAACTTGCCACCAAATGAAATTCCTCAAGAGATGTGCAGTGTTCAAAGCATTGAAGCATGCTCTAACAAAGACGAGTTGAGGGAGGATCACAGAATGGAATTTGATCAGAGTCCTGAATTTCCACTTGCCACAGCTGGAAGAGAGAATGGCAAAGGCACCATTACCAATGGCAACCTGATCAATGAATTGCAAGAGGAAGTCATGTTCTACCAGGATCAATGTCATGAACTAAGAGAAGAATTAATAAAATTGAAAGAGAAGTTGAAGCTCTGTGAAGAGGAGAAACAAGGTCTTCAAGCTGAAGTAGGAAGACAGTTGTTTCTTGAAAGCAAAGAAAGACGATGCAGCAAAAAGGTTTATCAACCCCCCAGCAAACATGCCAGTGGGACGAGTGAACCTGTTGGAGTTAGAGGTGCATCCCATGACTTTTCAGGTATAGATGCTAAGCTGCTTGGTGGTGCAGATCCTTTACACAAAGCAGATAAATAATATTTTTGAATGAATACTGTGGCTATTTTGCTCCAGATATGATTCATATAAACTGCATGTTACTCTACTACAAATTTGCACTATTGACGTACATTACTTATCATGTCCAAAAGATGATCACCAGAGAACATGCTGGATTGGTAAAGATCATGGCTTTCTGTCTTCATCTTTCAATAAGGCTCCTCAAAAGGCAGATGTTACACAATCTGGAACTTTGTCATATAGCCATTTATTCAGTATGTCAAGTTATAACAGTTCTAAAACTTGGTACTGTACCTTTATTTAGAAATTCCATTACAATAAAAAAGGCTCTCAAAATTTGACCTTTCTTGGGATAAGTATACATGCATACATTATAGTATTCCAAGAAGGTATTGATACAAATGAGAAAAATACCTGCATTTCTAAGAGTTACCTCGCATTTATCTTGTTTGCGTTTTCTTTAATTTGCAGGTTTCTTGCTTCAACAAAGACTTCAGGAGATCTCACATTCCTTATCAGAATTGGAACTGAACAGAATCAAGAATCTTGTCCGACCCATACTGGATAACTGTAGACTTGCCAGGATCAGGGAGTTTTCAAAGTTGTTGGAGGAATTAGAAAGAAGAGGGGAGTTTTCCTGTTCCTTTGTTAGAGATCTTCTAGAAAGAATCCATCGATTTGATCTTGTAGAGAAACTTGCTGAACCTTTTCACAATGGTGAAGAATCATGTGTAAAGGAATCTTATTCACCTCAAGAAAGCAAACAACTGAATGAAGTGGTGGAAAGTGTTTCTGGTGTCAACAGTAAACAATGTGATGAAGTGGAAGAAGGGAAAGAAATATTTGACAACACTGAAGTTGATGAAGAGGATGAAGTATGCAACAATTCTAACATAAACTCATTTAACAGTGATAGTGAGGGAGCTTCTGTCACTTTTCCTGCGAAGAATGTGAATGAATCAAGTTTTGTTGGAGGTGTGGATTTGTCAGAGGAGAGATATGACTCAGCCTCGAGCTTGTCACAGTCATTTGATGTGCCAAGTATTGGATTGGAATCCCGAGAGAGGTCTTGGTCACCTTCATTTACAAGTAAACAATTTGATGGTGAAAAGCTGAAAGGAGCATGTGCTGCAAATGGCAAAAGGGACAAAGAAAGTGCACATGATTCCTCTTTTCCTCATGGTGCAGAGACACAATTTTATTTCAATCATCACTTTAATGACACTGTGTATGGTGCAGCTAATTTACCAGATAGAGCCCAAGATAGTTTAAAGCAAGAATACTTAACTAGTGTGAATCAAGATTCTCTTCCTAATGGAGACACAACTCAGAGGCAAAATGTTTCAGGTGCAAGGTTCATTGTGCAAAAGGACACAGCAACAGATCATTCTGACTCTCGTGTGAGCAATCAGTCAAACGAATGGGAGCATTTAGGGGCCAGGCTGCAAGATGGGACTTTTTCATCTTTACCAAGAGATGAACTTTTTCATTCAGGGTTCACTGGTTCAGGATTGACCTCTGATTTCATGCAGCCCACAGGATTTCAAATAGGTGCTTTAAACACATTGGATTCCAGTTTATCAATACATGACTATGCTCTTGGTACAAGAGAGCCTCAAATACCACCGGATGGGTATTTTACAAGTTTGCAAATTAATCAACCAATTCACTTCAATGGTTCAGGCTTCACTTCTGACTTGACAGGGTCCACAAGGCCTGAACTGACACATTCTGCAACTGGTACACATAGAGACAGTGACTTTAGTGGCAGTGCATCAATGTTGCCTTCAACAAGAAATTCTGGATTATCAGTAAGTTCATCAGTTTGCAAGCAAACCTATGGTTTCCCTCCAGATGCTTCCTCAACTTCATCTTCAGGAGCAAGGGTTAATGGATCTGACGGTAGGCTTTTTTCAGAATCAGAGTCAAGTAGAGTTAGTCAGTTATTGCCGGTCACAACAGGTAGGGATGGTTTGAATACATCTGAAGAGGTTAACTCTAGTAGCAATGCAATGAATGCATCTGATGATCATTTGGCTTCTGGACACTATAGAGAAGGAAGCAGGGCCTATAATTCTTCAAGCTCTCACATGATATCTGGTACTGATACAGGGGAAAATCAATCTGGCCAAACTGAAGATTTAGTCACAAACAGAAACTATGGCACAGAGTCAGTGGAGTCTACAGATAACTCCCTGCTTGAATTGGAACAGCGTGTTGAAGAGGCTTGTGCAATGGTGGAAAGAGTGCTGAGGGAGAGAGAAGAAAGAGAAGAGTTTGGCCGAGAAATTGAAAGAAAAGAGCGTGAAATTCGAGCAGAAAGGGCACGAAAGAAGAGAGAAAGAGAAGCAAGGGAGCTAGAGGAAGCCAGAGGATGGCCTCAACAGCAGGAACCAGTTACTGGACAGTCTTTGTGGCTTTGTGAGCATTACCAACGTCATTGTAGAGTACGTTTCCCTTGCTGTAACAACTTCTATTCATGCCACCGTTGCCATAACAATTCCAAGGAATGTGACAATGAGGAAGCTAAAGCAAGTCATGCAACTCACCTTAAATGCAACTACTGTTATCATGAACAAGAGGTGATGAAAGGTTTTTAGTTATGTTGTAAATTATAGTTTTGAGAATTGCCGTATTTTTTTATTGGGAGTGATAGAAAACATACAGGGAGGAGATTCTGTCCTTTTTCCGGGTAATTTTTGTCAACTGTTTTGGTGAGTTATTAATTACAATACACTCTCTACTGTTGCAAACTCACTTTGCACATGTTTGCACAATTTTAGTGGCCATTTAAATAAAAATTAAGCGAAACAAATCTCACTGCAAAATCAAATACCAAAGTGTTTTTTTTCTTTCCATGGCAATTACACTGGCCACAGGTTGGAGTACTAGAGCACTTATTTATCTGTCTGATAAATGAGGCAGTCCATGTTAAGAACTTTGTGATTGTAATTCCCATTAACTTGGTCTGTAAGACTTATGATTTTCCAAATCATTTTCTTTCAGATTGGTGAAGACAGTGTCAAGTGTCGTAGCTGTAAAGCAAAGATGTCAGCATACTTCTGCGCTATTTGTAAACACTTCACCAGCATTGACAAAAATCCATACCACTGTAAAAAATGTGGAATATGCCGGTAACTGATCTGACAAAGTTTTCAGTTTATAAAAACTTTGCTGTTGTGTTTTCCATAGCTTTTTATGTTTTGAAGCCACATAAGCTTTTTTGAAGGCTTGGAGGTCAACTTTTCTCAAAAGTCCTCTTTTGAGCAACCTTCAAGTGTAGAATTATAGAATGGTCACCAGAAAGTAAACACTTAAACAACTCACATTTTGCCCAAATCTTTTTTTTTTTTTTTTTTTCCCCTTTCAATTTTACCTCTTAGCCAGCTTTACAAAATTGATTTCTCTACCACTTAAAGCAGGACATTGGTCTTATTATGCCATGTTTTCTTGTAGCATACATAAAGACAAATCATTCCATTGTGAAGTATGCAATGTCTGTCGTGACAAACGCCTTCAAGGAAAGCACAAGTGCAGACCAGACTGTGGTCATGATGAATGCTGTATCTGTTTAAAGGTGAGCTAGTAAACTTCAAAATATTTAAGCATTGGTTTCTTAATCATTTTTATTATAATTGTTATTGTTACTGTTATTGATATCTTCTCAACAATTTTCCTTTCCACTTCTTTTCCAATTAGTAAATTATCCCACTCTGTATGTGTAACACTGTGTTCTTTCCAAACTAATGTATCAAAAATCACTTTCACATAAGCTATGTTCTTTGGTGAGTAATTTATAACAATACACTCTCTACTGTTGCAAACTCACTTTTTCCAGAATCACTATTTGACAATCTATGTAAAATCTCAAAATGGTTGCCATTAATTTAGTTGCCATTTAAAAAAAAAGCAAAACAAATCCCGCTGCAAAGGTAAGACTTGTGGCCACAAAGGGGCAACAATGTCTCAAGGCAATAAGAAGACCTTTCATGTGTCAGAAGGTAAGAGAATGTTTTTGAGTGATGAGTAGCACAATCACCATGCCCATAGGGGGTTGACTGCAAACTTTCAATGATTTCTTCTGTTTTACATTTTCATTGAAGCCAAATCTTTGTTTACAGGTAAAGTTGTTCTTATTGATTATAGTAAAAGCAAAAAATCAGAAAATCACATTACTGTCTTTGAGAAAATACCCGTGAAAGATGAAAAATCGAGCCAATTTTAGTTGTAACGCGTAACACAATCTCAGTGGTAAAATTTTTTAAATACATTTTTCACTAAAAAGAAAGCTCGTTTGAGCAAACAAATTACACCTAATGATAACACACAATAAACACTACATTTGAGCAAAACTTTGACATTTCAAGTTTATTAAAACGCATAGAAAAGATTCATCATTCTTTAGTATCCTTTGTGTAACGCTGGGTTTCAGAATTTGGAAGTACACCAAGTTGTTGTCCGCAGAATGACTGAACTGGAATCCTGAGGGAACAAAAACACATTAACCAAATGCTCATACTTGTTGTTCTAAAATAGCGAAAAATCAGTCGAAAGGATTGACTATAAACGGAGAAATATCAGTGTAAAACAGTCGCTACGGTTTTGTAAAACCTGATTACGCAATAATATTTTTCATCAACTTACCTGCTCCTTTGCTACTATACTTCAAACACGGCAAAGTCGGGTTTCGAAATCGATTACACTTTAATGCTCATAAGTTTCTCTTGTCATTTCCAAGTTTTCAGGTCCATATCTTTAGAAACGGCCAAAATATTCACTTTTGACCAAGTCGCAACGCTTTTTACCATGTTGATGCCATATTGAGAACGGAGTCTCGCCACAAATGCCACCAAAAGCGCTATGAAATCTGCTGTTTGCTCCGCCATTTTCGCCATTTTCATCTCCGTGTCGAAATAGCTTGGTAACCTTTCCTATTTTGGTTTCTGCGACGTTATCAAGGGTCGGGGGTCTTCAAGCTCAATAATTTTTCTGAGATTTAGCCATCTGTAAATATCGCTTCAAGTGCGCTTGACAAGAGGTATGGTTAACGAAAAGGAAGAAAAGCTTGCGAGGATCAAAGAGTGGAGGAGGAAAAAGCAGGAAAAGAATAGGCTAAGGAATCTAAAATATAATGAAAAGAATCGCAAAAAGAGAGCTGAATTTCCAAGAGAAAAATGGTGATGTGATCTTCAAGTTGTAAAAAGAGGCAGAAAGTCAGTTTTTAGAGTGCCAGTTGATCTCACTGAGGAGATACTAGCCTCCATGTAATACAAAATGTTATTATTTCTACATTTTACTGTGTCAGTGAACTCGAAATTGATTATTTGTGAAAAAGACCACACCCACAAGGGATTATGGGTAAATACAAATTTGAATCAAATGTGACAAAAATAAAATAGTTTGAAATAAATCAGTTGTAATAGTAAATGTGAATTTAAAACAGACCTAAAGAAGTGATTTTGTCCCAAACTAGCAATTTTCACATTTTTCATACATGTTACAGAAGTGGGTATGGTGATTGTGCTACTCATCAGTACACTTGTGTGCTGTTGTTGTTATTGAAAGGTAACTAGGGTATTATTTGAACATCTCATACTTGAAAATATAACAGTACAAGTTAACGTATAATTTTGATGAAGTGGCTAGTTTGTAAGGGTGACTGTAGTCCTGAGAAGGATTATTATTGATAGTTAGCACTGATGTTTCAACAACCTTGGGAAAGTGATTGTCAGATTTCAGTGATGAGTTGTTTGGCAAGTATTTTAAGTTGGGTTTCTACAGTGTGTACCAAAAAGTATATTTTTTGGTGAAGAAATTCTAGCAAAACAATAACTGATTTTGATAACTTTCAATACCTATTCCTGAAAATATACACTAATTATACATAAATTAGGACCCTCTTTTGTCACATGCTTAGCTGCGAGGCAATTGTATCTTTTCTTGAGTATATGAAACCGTTGTATTTAGAATGTGTACATCTTAGTAAGATGTATTTTACATTTGTGTATTTGATGTGTACATAGTGCTTCTTAGGCATAGTGAACTGGATTGACATTTTTATACCTAGAATTGTATTAAATAATTAGGTGCAATATTTTAGAAGGCTTACCATTTTGATGACATAAGATGTAGCAAATACCAATACATGTATGGGCCAGACAATCAAAAATGAGTGGATAAACCTAGATTTGGATTTGCAGTCATTTGCAATCAGGGGCAATGCTTTTGCAGGAAAGATGTTAGGTGAATTGAGGGAGGTTTGGGTTAATTGTTAAATTCATGTTTCTTTTACAGGAGAGGGAAACTGGAGCAAAGAGAGGGCTACAAAAACCAGTTTGGGTCGTGAGTTCTCTAAATGCCAACCACAACAGCCTTCAGGCTTTAATAGAGGATATTGAAGATGCAACATTGAGAATTCAAAAAAGGTGGTCATGGTTTGGAAGATGGTGCACATGTGCAGGTGGATTGGTGAGCAGCTGAGTAACTTTCCTTTTAAAAAGAGTCAGTCATCAATGGACAGGTTGTATCAGTTATTTTGGTAGTAACGATTAAAAATTGCATCAAAAGGTTTTGCTTTGAAACTCAGTAAATGGTGAACATAAGAAGTACCTCAGGAACCTTATTGAAGTGAGGAGAACAAATCAATTGGCACAAGAAAACTATCTACTGTGCATAGAAATTCTTATTCCTTTGTGGTTTTGTGGTTTGCTTGATTACCGGTAGGTGTTTAGGGTTCTTCGAAATTGTCAAAAAGAGTAAAAGATTGCATGATGTATTGTTAGTCTACATTGGATCTCATCAAATAGCTGTGTTGGTGAATGTTGTCAAGAAACTTTGCTGTGTGATGTTTTTGACAAAGAATTTGTTTATACGAAAAAGGTGATCTTTTACAAATCAAACATTAAGCAAAATGGTGAATAAAATGTTTTCGAAAAAAATCAGCACAAGAATAATTAAGAGAAAACTTGCATAAAAAACAAAATGTTAGAATGCTTGTTTTCAATGAAATGTCTCATGATAAGGGTCTTTTCTGTTTAATTTTTATGTTGACAATTAATAGTTTTTGTTTTGGTAGGATGACCAAGATTCTGGTGAAATTTGTGCAAATTGTGTCAAGTACAAGTACTGGTAAGTTTTCAGTTGTTAAAAGAAAGGCATGAAAAATAGAAAAAAAAGTTGTTCTGTAATTTATTAGCCAGCTCGCTAGACCTCATTTGAAGAGGTCTTAGTTTGAGCCCCACCTAGGTCAATATATTATGTGCTAGGGATAGGTACTTAGTCCTGCAGTGCCTTTCTCCATGCAGGATTTTGAATGAATACTGGTGAACTCACACTAAAACCTGACAAATAGACTAACATCCCATCTGGTAGGGTAAGCAGTACTCCCAACTCAGTTCATGCTAATTGGACACCCCAGTAAGCTTCTATGATGTGGGATGATTGGCTTGAATGAGGGCGACTTTTCAGATGCTAAAATATAAGTACATGTATTTCTGTTGTTGTTTGTCCGAGATTGTTAATTTGGTACATCTACATTTCGAATGTCAAAAGGAGGGCTAATAACCTTATCCAGAAAAAATGACAAACTGTAT